ATATCTGGAACAAACTCCCAGAAAGCCTCAGATCAGCTGAAACACTCAGTTTATTTAAATCCAGGTTGAAGACTCACCTGTTCTCAGCTGCATTTGAATAAAGCCCCAAATCCACACTTTTAAGCTTAAAAGTGTGTATATATATATATATATATGTATATGAGAGAAAATAAGTCCTCTTAACATGAGCCTGAATCGAACAAAGTAAGATTTTTAACTCTTTATTTTCAAACTCTTCATATGAAATATTGGCTTGTCTCACTACAATAGGAGGCTATAAAAATAAAGGAAGTTAAGCTTCAGTACTACAAAATGACCACAAGATGGTGCTATTTCTCAAAAACAGCCTCGCCACATGACAAATTTTTCCTACACGCTCTCTCTCTCTCTTTTGCACACACACATACACCCAGTTTTGCCGACGTAAAAAAACAAACAAAAAAAAAAAATCTGAGCCACTCCCCTTTATGCCTGGTCTCCTCGGTTAGCACTCAGGAGCCGTGTTGGGACCGTTTCAGTGAAAATCGATTATAGTGTAAATATGATCCATCTACCCTCACTTGACCTGGATCTCTTCGCTGATTTCAGTGTGTGATCACCCAGTGCTGGTCTTCACAGACACCGAGAGGAGACAGCGGCATCCTCACCGCCTTACCCACTTTCCCGAGAAGGTGAAGCCGTTATAATAACAGCGCTAGCCGCTATGAGACGAATAAGTGGTAAGGCGAAGGATGAGACTCTGATCGAGCTGCAGAGCGCCAGGGCTGCAGGTAACCGCATAAATGCACGGTTTTATTTCTAAATGTGGCAGCTGCTGTGGCAGAGCGACGCTCTACAAGTTACAGTAATCCGAGGTTCATTGTAAACTCGCAATTCAGCAGTGAAGGGTGAATATTTATATGTCCTCTAGTTGTTTTGTCTTACGTGGCAAAACCATTTCTACATGTGGCTGTAATTTGGTTACTCGGCTTGTGCTTGTATACAGCCCAGTTAGTGATGCTGGGTTGCACCAGAGATCCCATGACCAAAACACATCAAAACACACATGCTGTTTGTTCTTCTTGTCTACTGCTTTGATACAGCCAAGTCCCTTACACTGCAGGGTGACACTGAGGTCACACACATAGTCTGTTTCCCAAACTGAGCCAGACTGCATATTTATTTTTAGCGTACAATATCTCAGTGTACACTGTAGTAAACTATCCTAGAAGCATCTCAGGCATTTTTTAACGAATTAAATTAGAGAAGAAGACAAATTGATCCATGCTGTAAAGCATGTGAGTAAACATACTTTTTGCTATCTGTCAAGCCTAACATGTGTCACCTTATCTAATGGGACTAGCCCCCTGTGAGATAGTCAGGCTTTACTGACTCTTCGCCTATAGTCACATGAAGTCACCTCTCTGGAGGTTCACAGTCTGAACAATGTGCCACCACAGGAATGCTTTCAGACGTGAATTTGGTTGAATTATGTCGGCTTACCGTGATTTGTTGCTTCTACATGGACATTAGAAAGTCAGTTAAGTTGATGGAGCACTGTGAAACCTAATGGTTTGGTTCTGCGGTCGTTTTAGTCCTGAGAGGATTGTATGACATTGCTGCACAGGACTTGTGTCCTGAATGAATCTTACTAATGAATGAATGAATTAAATGACTTGCTTTCACTCCAGTATCTAAAGTAGCAGATCTATGAGTTAATGACACTTTTAATGTTTTGAGCACTATGTGTCAGTCCATCCCAGTCTGAATAACCCACGTCTTTGCCTCACAAACACTAAATCTTCATTTTTATGCTGTCCTCTCGCTGACATTTGAAACTCTGCACGTGTGCAGTGGGAAACTTTTCAGCATTTCTAAAACTGAGCCACAGACGTCTGGAGGCATCCAGCAAGATTTTGCATAAGTCAGGAGACGCTCTGGTTTCCAAAAGAAACACAAATCCATAACAGGAAAAATACAAAGTATACTCAAGTTGCAGTAAGAGCATGGCATGTGCTGATATCTGCTGACCTGCTGGAGGACAAGATGAATTAGGTGCACTGGAAACCTCTGTTGCTTTTGTGACAAGAGCAGCCGGGCCTTTTAATTTGTGAGCCTGCTTACCTCTGCCTAACAGACCACTGCATCACAACAAGACCATTATGAGAAGAGAAAAACAAAACGTTTATAGAACACATTTTCCAGCATTTTCATTCAATCAAACCATGTCTGAGTTAAGATTACGATGCCTCAATTACACCTTTCCCTGTTTGTATTTGCATATCCTCCGCTGTGTGTATTAGAGGGTTGTTTATAAGGACACGTGGCTGTTTATTTAGAGTGAGCAGTAGATTAAAAGACTGCTGTTCTACAGAGGCTTTGTTCGGGCTCTTATCAGGCCAGACTTTCAGCGACAAGTGAAAGGGGAAACAAAGGAGAGGAAGGATTCAGTCCTCACCTCAGTGTGTGTGTCTGTATGTGTTACCTTGTTCACAGCTGCCCAAACACTGATTTATAATCGTACATGACATTCTGCTGCTGGATAAACACCAGATGTCCATGGACAGCGTATACCGTTTGGTGGATGGTTTTCTAAAATCAACCTGCTGCTTGTTGTCACCCTCTGTCTGTAAATCTTTTTCTTGGCCAGTTCACAGTCAGGGAAAAAATCTTAATGACTCCACTTTTAAGTGCCCTCAATAGTTATTAATTACTCATTTATATCGGGATTTGCCTCCTTTTAAGGTGATCTCAATCCGCAGTCCAGCTGATGAAGTCATCTGCCAGTCAGAGGTGAAGCAGAGCCAAAGAGTTGCTATGGAAACAGGCCTTGTAATTAAATTACTCCCTTTGAGGAGGCAAACAGAACAGAATAACACATGGTAGGCAAGCAAGACGTCCTCTCACCACAACCACAGTAAGACTAGATGAGGTCTTATTGTGCTGCCAGAACTATTTTCAGACTACAGACCTTTTGTTTTGGGCATAAAATAAATTTTTTGCTCTATATATTTTTAATCATAGGTGGCATATGCCTCTTTTTTTCCTCTGGGCTTTCACCTTTTTGTACGTTTTTGTAGAGACAAGTGACAAATAAAAAACCCATCATGTGTCTTAGTAAGGTGTCGGGCCATCGCACGATGCCAGAATAGTTTTAGCGGATTTTCAAAAGTTGTTTTCACACTTTCAGACTTCCCTGAACGTCTCTAGCCACTGCCTGACAGAGGTGCACGTGAGAAGGCTGATATCAGCTGGATCAGGCATTAGACACTCTTTAAATGTCAGTTCCCAAGTGCAAAGGATGCTTGATGTTACGCTGTGCTGATGTGTGAACAGCGCTGTTTAGAATTCGTTGCATTTACAGCTAGTGAATGGGCGTCGTCTGTGCTGCCTCCGGCATGCAGGGAGCTCCCTCGCCTAAACCACACAGAGCATGTGCAGTAGCGCAAAAACAGCTGAAGGGAAGTGTTTCCTGTTGTGTTTTGTTTGAGAAAGAACAACAACATCTATCCTGACTCAATTTTTGCAAAATTTGCCCAAAGCTCACATGTGAAAACACCTCTGAAAAGTCGCTGGGACTCTGATGAAAACTTGGAATATCGTTTTTCCAGAAGATACGCCCCTGATTTGGTGCTTTGATGACTGTAGAGGAACGCACTATCTGTCACCACCATCACCAACTGGGTGGAGATCTTGTGAGGGAAAGTTCAGTAGCAAATGATTCGTGTCATTTTCATACTGATCAAAAGATTCAGTGACCCATCGTGCCAGTCCCACCAGGATAGACGTGTTTTATCAGGGCAAAAGGTAACACCTCCATATTGATTCTTTTCTTAGGTGATAAGGGCACTCAACGCAGCAAACCATTCCCCCTCACCAACATCCTTACTGTAGGAGTGTAGGAGTTTTTCCTTTAATATGTCACCAGTCTATATGGGTGCTCTTTACAGGGCAGCTTTGGATGCAGGAACCTGACTCACTGTTGTGCCGTCTCTCATTGGTTAATGTTGTTAATCTACTTATTGGGCAAACAAAACGCCCAAGGCCTTCATATCATAGATGCAAGGAAGCTACTTTTGTGCCCTAATCTGTCTCGTCCAGTCATCCTTTCAAAAGATTTCGTCAAACATCTCTTCCTTAAAAGACCGTCAGACATGTCAAGTGTTGAAGTCCAGGCGTGTTATGTTGTGTCTGTTTAACGCGATGAATTATGACTTCTGCTCTGCATATGACCTCTTCAGCTGGCACTGTTCAAGCTTTCCGGTAATTGTCAGGAAAGTATCAACAATTTCCTGATGATAAGAAAGGAAACTTGTGTTCTTGGCAACAACATGAGCATGATACAAATGTGAAAACACAACTGTCAACATTTCAAACGCTTTCTAAAAATAAAAGACACCATTAAAAAAAACCAACTTTATCAGTAGCGTTCCCTTGTATATGTTTAAAGCCTCACGTATTCAGTGTTTTTAAACAACATTTATATTAATCTGGATGCATTTTGAATATAGTCAGCTGTATTGACAGGAAATGTTGAGTGGCAGACTTTGAGGATGCCTCGTCCTAGAAGACAGAGGCCCTGGGTTTGAGCTCAGGATGTTGTGGTTTGACTGAAACAGAGTGTGCACTGTGCTTGCAAGATTAAAAGTTCTTATTTGCGTTTTTGCATCAAATTTTAAAATTTAATTCAGTTCTTTTTGTAAAAACCTGACATACTTGCCTGATGCTCTCATCAAGACACACTTGTGGTTCGTGTGATCCTGCATATTGGATGACTTTGAGTGGGAACCCCTATTTAGACTACAGTATTGTTCATCGCATTAATATTTCATATACATCGATTTGCAATTGAGCCCTCATGCCCCATCTGGTATTATTAAACTCATGAATAGAGAGAAGTTGTAGAGCAGTCTGTGATGTGTTTGTATTACTTCTCTTGAGAAAGGATTATGCTGTCATAATAAACCAGTGCTGTGTTTTCCATTTGTCAAAGTGGAAGGTCGAACGACACTCTGAAGAGCTCTTAATCGAGTAAAATATAGAACGCCTGTTTCAGTACAGCAAGCAGGACATTCTAGCTCTGTGCCAGGCACACTGAAGAGCTACACGAGAGTTGTTAGCGGGGCCTCTTCTGAATCATAGGCGCCCACGCATGTTGCTTGAGTCATAGTAAAAACGATTTGCTTGATACTGAATCAAAGGTACAAAAACACAGCGAGTGCTTTTCATCAGTGGTGTCGATGATCTGCAACATATAAAAGCTGTGGTCTGATTTTCAGCAGTGATAGAACTCTCTGTTGTGCTTTTATGCTGTTCTTTTAATGCTTGTGTAAGTGAAAGTCTGATGGCTCAATATTTAACCTTTGTGTTGTCCTGATCTACAGTTTAATTCCACCTCCTAACCACTGTCTGTCTGTCCCTTAAAGATGTTCCTGCTGTGTTGACTGCATTCAGGATTAACCTCCACCCAGGTATGGGCAGATCAGAGGCTTTATGTGACGCCTGTCTGTCCGTCCTCGCGTCATTGTAATCTCTGCTATTTCTCTTCGCACCCTCCATCGCGTGCCGTCATCATGTTTAATGTCACTGCGTATGCTCCATTTATGTAAATTTGTTACGGCTTTCCTGTTTGTTTGCTGATCAGAATCAAATGCCTCTCTGTCTGCTATCTCAGCTTTCATATTGTAGCCATTTGCTTAAGTGTCTGCCGTCTGGTAGCTTAATGTGCTGTGTACTGTGTCAAATTTGTACTATTTGTACTGGTGCATGCACCCAGACGCTGAATTAAGATATGTGCCCATTGTATTTCAACTTGTGGCTAGGCTATTTGATGATTTATATCTTAAGCAACATGTATAACTTTTTATAGCAAAGTTTTGCTTGTACTATAAAAGCAGAAAAACTCCTGCATGTATAATTTTACTCACAAATGCGGTATGTAGCACAGCCTGTGGACTCTGTGGGCCCAGGAGAGATATGTTGAAGCTCTAACAAGCTTCTGCCTGAATACTTTGCCTCAGTGCTTCCACTACAGCATCAAGAATGAGCAACCTTTGATAACATTACCCCAAAAGGTCCACTAATCACCGAGAAATTAGGGACTACCATATTCAAACATAAGTCTGACATAAGAAGAAGAAAAAAAACTCATTTGGCTTCAGATAGTCTTTTGCTGAGTAAAGAAGGATAGCTACTACAGCTAGCTTTTTCTTTAGGTAGCCATCAGTCCTTCTGCAGTAGCTTATTCTTAGCCTGTGGTATGTTAGCCTGTAAAGTATGCCTTCATTATTACAGGGAGTAACACAATCATACTTTGAATGCATTTTTATAGTTCAAAGTAAAAATGAAATACAGTGTGTTCCTCTCAAATGTGGTGGCACAGAAATGTAAATAAAGCACAAGCACTGAAGTAAAATGTAAACGCAGTCACAGGACTCCATGCAGGTTTGTGAAAAACTATGTTCACCCCACGAGTGATTAAATTGTATAACCGTCCTTGAGAGCAATAAGTTGAAGTGACTTTATCAGACTCTGATATCATTTTGGAGAATGCTGTTCTTCGAGTCATTGTCCCGTTGCATGATTAAGTTTAGCTTTTGGACAGATGACCTTTCATTTGACTCCAGAATTCTTTGGTATACAGAGGCGTTCACAGTGGGAATGAGGTGTTTGTGTCATGTTGTGTGTGGTTTCTGCCAAACGCGGTGCTGTGAATTATGACCAAGCATTTCCACTTTGGTTCCAGAAGTCTTGTGGTTTGTTCAAATGTAACTTTGCAAACCTAAGTCCTTTAAAATCGGAGATTCAACTCGTTGTTGAGCATCGCATTGAGTTGCATTTGCTAGAATGTGTTCTTGGGAAGAATGGAAGCTGTCTTGTGTTTTTCACTTGTGGATAATGTTTCCCACTGTAGAAGGATGAACTTCAGACGGTGTGGAAATAGCCTTATAATCCTATCCAAATTAATGAGCAGCAATTGTTTTTCTATTATTGATGTCCCTCTTGGTAATATGTACGGTAATAACACATATTGTGTGTATTGTGATAATAACACACACCTAGACCTCCAAATTGCCCAAACGTCTGCTTTAATAGAGGTGTTCACACTTACAGTCATCTTTAAATCAAGTGTATTTGATTACCAGCACCTGCCTGCTATTCTTCCTCTTAATTCCTAGGGAAGCAGTAAGGGGGTGTACATTAGCCATTCATGTGGCTAACGTACACATGAGTGGGTGACTGAGTGGGTAGGTGATGTAAACTTTCACATCCTCATGTTAGATAAACACTAAACCCAGGATGCTGTTTCAGATTGAGAAATGCGGGTTGACTTTCATAATCTTTGTTTCGGTGACTCAGTGTGATGAGGCTGCTGGCCTTACAGCGTCACACAAAAAGTGAAGCTATGTGTGCGTCTCATCTGGGGGCTGCATGTGTCCCCAAAGCTGCAGAAATTAGAGACACCTTTTCTGTAACAGGCAGTCCTGTAGCAGAAATGATTGTGATTGTGCAGAGGTACATTTGACTACTTTGGTTGTACCTTAGTCCAGCTTTGCATATATCTTCATGAACACATATCCTTCGAGCAGGCTGCCTGCTTAGGCAAAGAGTGGAGCGAGCACAGAATCAAGTTTTGTCAGTTTACTGTAAATAGAAAGGCAGCACGGGCTTGTCTGTATTTTCATATCATTAGATTGTCTGGATAAAGATAGATTATTGTTAGGCGATAGCAGTGACAGAAGTGTTATAGCCCCTGCTTTCTTTTCTTTCTATTCTGCAAGATCAGTGCTGTCTTTAGGGAACCGGTATCCTGGCACAAGGTCTCCTCTTCTCTTCCACTCATGTAATGTGAATTGATTTCTGATTTCTTTAATTATTTAGAGTAATGGAGATTTTCCAACTCTGATGCTGGTCACTCCTCACTGTTCTTAATCTTGCTGACGGAATAAGTTTGATGTGAAGCAGTAATTGAGGGGAGATATTTGTCTGGAACGCAGCGCCAAACCAGGACGGAGCCTCCACTGTGTTTTACAGATACAGATGTTGTATCAAACCAAAGGTCTGAAAATTGGATTCATTTAGTCCATTTCTTGTGTAATTTGGCATACCTCAGCCTCCTTTCCTGGTTCCTGTTCGTTAGAAATGGCTTATTGATATTTCTGATGTGGCTTCAGCAAACAGTAGATGGATCAGTGGGTGCATCTCCCAGGTCCTGTGTCAGGTTCATCTCTTGAGTTGGGGATTTTTTTTTTATTGTTGAACGATGATTAGCTCAGTTTTAAGTGGCTTATACAATAAAACAAATGTTCCTCTGAAAGTGGGGATTTGTAAAGAGTAGACTGAAAATAAGTGAAAAAACAGCTAATGACAAAAGAAAACTTTGAGAGACCTTTGGAAGGTCTGAAGAACTATTGCTGAAGCCCACTATTACAAGAATGAGGGGTGGCTCAAGACTTTCGCACAACACAGATAGACTTTATCTTAAAGATCTTAATGATTGTTATTTCCTAACACGATTCAAATTCCAATGATGCAGAAAGTAAAGATGCGAAAATAGTTTTTCGATTGTTCTTATGATAAAGCTCTGAAAGCTCAGTGCATACATCTGCTACAACCTTGTTCTGTTTACAGCTCATAACACCAGCAGATGCCTCTGCTTCGGCTACATGTGAATCTCTCGCCTTCCTCTGCTCTGTCTGAACATCAGTATAGCATCATTTCTCTGGATAGAATCAACTCATTTAGGAAAAGAGATTAGTTGATTCTGTTCTTGGCTGCATCGCACATGTATAAAGTCACTACCTCCTGGATGTGTTTGCACTGATCTACTTCCAGTTTTGGTCTTCTGGTGTGTCTTACAGGGCAGGACCTATGGGCATGAGGTATGCACAACTTTTTATGAACTGGAATCACTAAAAGCACATCTCTCAACTGCATCTCAGTCATGCAACAGGTTTTGAAATGCTGTTTGGCTATATCAGGGTCAATACTCAGCAATGGTGCTCTAATTTGTTTTGGAGATGGTTCAAAATGCCACTGTTCATTTCCCACGAAGTTAGTAACATGTTTTTTGACAATCATGCTGACGAGAGAGTATCTCAGCTCCTGTAAATAGATAGCAGGAGACGTGTAATTGGGTTAAATGGGTGGAAAGTGGGTAGGTAAAAGAGTGCATGGCACTTCTCACTTATTCAGTTTTGCCCAAATGAATAGCTGTCTCATTTTAATACGTGGTAGTAATTTCCAGTGAAGACTCATTTATGGCCATCTGTTCTAGTAAGTGTGTCTGTTGCCCTGTTTCACAGAGGGAACACTACTTTGTGTTTTCCTTCAGTCTGTCTCTCTGTGGAAGTTGCTGGCCTTTTGCCTTTGTTTGCTCTAAGCCAGGTTGTGATAACTGTGGACGGCTTGGCACAGTTGGAGTTAGACCAAAACAAGTGGGATAAAAAAGATAGGAGAGGAAAAAAGCAGCTCACACAGGGTTAATTGGAAAGACGGTGTAATATGCTACTTATATTTCCTGTGGATTCTTATAGTCTAACTGATATGCCATATTCTTACTCCAAGTGCCTCTTTAGGCCTCTCAGTGAAGTACTGCTGCTATTGGCTGTCACTGCTGTCTGTCAGACCCTCCTGCTTAACGAAAGGTCTCTGCCAGTGCAAGCTGAGGGAGACTGAAGCGCTTTGTGTTCTTTGTGTGCTGCGTGTGTGCTTCTTTTAGGAGGAGGCTGGACCCTTTGATACAACAGCAACCTCAACGGCCAGCTCCTCCCTCTCACTGATGTTTTTGTCATGCAGCCTCCCCCACAGGAAGTGCAGCTTTCCCACCATCCAGGAATAATAGGGGAGCAGGCGGCTAGCAGAGCAGTGCAACATGAGCACATTTCCTCTGCCAGAGTCTGCCACGCAGGGCCGGAGAGGCTCTGCTGGAATGTGGCGAGCCATTGCATAAGTGTGTATGTGCAATGTGGCCTTTGTGTTTTCATCTCTCTCAACTCAGTACTTACAAACATGGTGATAGTCAGTATCTCCTGATATTGCCTCCTGTAGGCTTTTTTTCATTGGCTCTTGTTATATTGATGCTGTCTACTATGCATTTGTAGCCATAACAGTAATTTGGCAGCTGATTCTTCTTAAAGGGATGTTTTTGTTATGAGTGAGCTTTAATTTATCCTGCGGTCCAAATTATTTGAACTAGTTTAACAGTTACTTACTGTCAATTTAGATGATATATGTGCAACTATTGCTTTTGAGAAGTTAGAAAAATCAATCATGTTTAATTCATTAATCATGTTTTTTGCTTAAAGTCTGCAAATTTGTAAGTATGTGCATTTTAAGCTTAATTCACTTCAACCAGGTACCCGTCTCTGGGTTACCTGTTTAAGATTGGCTATGTTTGAGTTTATGTGCTGCTAATCCTTCAGCAACACAAACTAACATGAAAAAGACCACTAAGTCCTACGTGAGACAACCATTTACTGACATGAACAAATATATCATTTAATGATTCGACTTATTCGACTGGGCAGCAAAGTGGTGGAGTAGTTAGCATCTTGTTGCACCTCAGAGCAAGAAAGTCTGGAGTTCATGGGACCGTTCTGTGTGGAGTTTGCATGTTCTCCATGTGCCTGTGTGGCTTCTCTGCAGATATTCCTCATACTGAGTTGTGTGTCAAGTTAACTCCTGTCTAAGGTGTATGCCACTTTTAACCCTATGGCAGCTGGAGGAGGCTCCACCACCTCCGTGACCCTGAATTGGATTGGAAGCAAATGGATGGATGAATGGATGGAGTGTATTTAGACCAGTTCAATTACAATACAATAATACGATAATAACTAGATAATTACTATGCTATTACATATCAAAGACTGAATTCTAAAACATGAACAGCATTGTTACTGCACTCTTCTGTACAGCTGTATAATTCTCTTGATGTTATTCTTTTCTTCATTTATTTTGCAGATGAAAGCAGCGGAAATGGTTCTTTATCTGAAAGGGCACCACTGCCGGGAAATACAGAAGTGAGTGCTGGTGTATCTGTGAGCATTTCAACACATTCCCTTTCTATCTAGCTAGCTAAAAAAAATTAAGACATTTTGGGAATGACAGTTAAAGGTTTATCACTTTTTTGCTAGTTGTATGAGAGGAGCTGGTCAGCTCAGAGCAACTATTTTTCAAAAGTAAACCGATGTGCACACAAAGCACTGGTTAATGTGCTATGCCTCCTTTGTTTAATACAATACATACTGGATGCATTGAAACGCTGCTAGTTGCTAACTTCATGATGATTCCTATCTCCCTACTAAATGTAAACAAGCATATATAAAAATATCTATTTCCATTAAGATTTCCATTAACAGTTAATTGAGCAGCCTTTTGTCTGTGTGTTATTTCCTTTGTAGTCAACTAAATTGTTTATGTCAGTGTTCACTGTATGTATGAGTAATTTTAAAATCTTAGATGACCCTTTGGTGACTCACCCCTCTGATTGATGACTCTGATGAGTCACAAGATAGCTATGTTATCACAGAGTGCCGCTCATTTCAGCAAGACTGAAATAAACTGTCTCTTTGGTTTTTCAGTGACATAATGAGGTCATTCCACAGATGCACTATGTATCTTAATAAAATGATGGTATATTTCTGATATGTGTGCATGAGGTTTCAGTGCATAACCATTGAACACTGAATCGCTATATTTTTAAAATTTTCTCATTAGGTCAAAAGATGTTTTATTAACAGTCCAAACAGGGTGTAGTTGACCAAGCTGTATTCCTCTGCCTCTGGTCTATATGTCCCTGCTTCTGCCAAATTATTTTTACCGCCCCATCTGATTTTTAGCACTGCATCTGAAACGATCCACAGTGCAAACAACACTTAAATCAGATGCTGTCTTTCACTTTCAGCACTGTGATCCTGTGACAGGTATGACACAAAGTAGGGGAGGGGAATGATCTGGAGTGCTTTTATTCTAGTATTATTTTTTTTATTAAACCACTAAGCACTGTTGTTTCAGAGTTAGCTAAATTACCTGGAGAAATTAACAGGAAACTCACAAGAAAATCCTAGAAATATTTCTACTTCGTGTGGAAAAAAATACTTGAAAAATACTGATTATCCCCCGATTGTTAACATCTGAATTTCCTACAACTATGAGTTCTGCAATGCTGTATTTAAAATTGTTGAATTGCACTCAACAGGCCGCTGTCTATGAAGAAATGAAGTGCACTGTTTGCTGGCTTTTTAAAGTAATGGTGCCGCTACTGTGATGGGCCGATAAAGAATAGCAGCCACACTCCTGAGTGAAAAGATCGAGCCTAACCTGAGAGTCATTCACATGTGGTTCAGGATGCTGTAAAACACATAACTTGCATATATGTTAACTCTAAAAATCAGAAAGCAGATGATTTTCTGCAGGATTGCAGAAAAAGTCTGTTTTCTAAGCCTAATATTGCTGCATTATTTTTAAACTGGCAGCATTTTGTGCAGTTGAAATTTAAGATTTTTTCATTTAAAACTGAGGTTAAATAGCAATAAGTGGAAATGTGATTTAATCTGGGATGTTAAACAGTTTGTCTCGACTGGGTCACCTGTGTTTAAAGCCATAATAAGACAGATAATGTCACAGAAAAATGTTGTAATATTATTTTAAAGGCAGTGGTTGTGTGATCTTGTTTAGCTGAAGTTATAATTAGTTTAGTTGTCATAAATGGGAAACTGACAACAGTAATAAACACTAACAGGATTCAGACTATAAACTCTCTCCCCACAAATTGCACCCTGAATATAAGAAGCTGAGTCACACTCCTTTAGAGGAAAGTCTGTTAGTCAATGACAGTGTCTGATAAGAAAGAAAAAAAAACCCTGGGTGGAGTGCAGCAAACTGCTCAGGCAACATGGCACTTCAAGTCCTAGTCAAGTCACTATAATAGTATATAGTTCTTAAAGTATGTTTTGTTTTTTTTAAACATTTCAATTCAAATTTTTTATTTTGTTATTCTTTCATTGCAAGACGGGTCATGCAATCAATGACAGACAAAAATGATTAAAATAAACAAAAATGGAAAAGCAGCAAAGATTTAATATCATAATAAGAAATGAAGCCATATAAATGTGAAACATACTAATAGAACAACAAAGCTAATCCACAAAATGACATCATTTAAACTCAAGTTTTCCATGTAGTGTGTTTTGGGCATTAAATTAATTAACATTATTTTTAGACTTTATCTATAAACATTAAAAAAATGTATACAGGCAGTTCACACTAACTAGCTCAAAGTGGAGTTAAGACATGCTATTTCTCACTATTTTTATTGAATATCAGCTCAAATATCTCGTTTTGCTACCTACCATGCAGCACCAGTTATTTCGAGATCCCAAGCTAAATTATTTAATGTATAGTACAAACTCAGATTGCCTTTATATGCAGAGAAAACTAACATACATTCAATTTCTTTTTTTGTTTAATGATCGTGCGTGCATGGATGCATGATAGATGAAATTAGAGTAGCTGAAAATAATGGTTATTGTTTATTTAAGCGTAAAGGTTTCTTATATACGGAAACAGTAAAGATGAATTTCTACATTAATGGAAAAGTATTTAATGTTAGAATTCTAAATGCATTCAGGTAATCAAATACTGAAATTTAAGTAACGATACAGACACGACACATTTCTCCTACCGTCCGCTATTTTTGTGTAATGTTAGGCTTTGATTGTGTAGCGTTCAGGCTTTGCAGTTAAATCTGGTTTCTCCACAGTCATCATTGTTGCCCTCTAAATGTTTCTAGTCAGAGAAAGTGTTTTTTTAAAAATGCTTTTCGGCTGAAGAGCCAGAACGGGTTGATGTCTCTGTAATCAGTGGTCTAAACTGCATATATCATCCTCAGACCCAGCAATAAATTTTTTTCCTGTGTTGGGGACATGAGTTTACGATCACTTTGTCAAGCAGCATTTATGGAATCTGCATGACTTCTCTGACTTCATTTCAAAATGATGGAAATTTCAGCTTCCATATTTTATGGCCACAAGAGAGGTTAAGTAACACTGTTTGTTTTGGGGACTTTTTGCAGATATTATAATTCGATTGCATAAGAATTGTTTCTTCAATTTGAGAGTCTTAACTTTGAGTTAGTAGGATATCAAAATTGCACAGTAATTTTACTACTTCCAAAACTAAACTTTTATTCATTGTGCTCCGTAGTGGACACCAGGACTTACTGCCTCTTGTCATGTAGTCTTCAAATAGTCCTAAAATAGAGTGTATACTGATAACACACAGACTTGTTTTTCAACTTCTTACCTTTGAAAAATGCATATCACACTTCTCTGCTGCTATATGATTATGGCACGGCTACCGTGTATTGCTAACTTTTGGAAATTTAGCAAAGCTCCGTGCTCCACCATTGCTGTAAAACAATGGCCAGTTGGAGTGAACAGAGATGACGCGACTTTCTATTCAGCAGCTCTGGTTTCAGCATGATTTAGATAACCTAAGATCTGAATTTACTAGCTCCTAGTTATAGCCGATTCAATAAGCTGAGACAGATGCTTCAAGAGTAAGCTGTCAGAGTAACAAATGATCTTGATGTTTCTGATAAGTGGGAAAACCATAATCAGAATGCTTTATTAATCCCAGTAAAGAACAGTAACTAACTAAACTAAATCAAATAATATAATCAATAAATATTATACAACAAAGTTATAAATAAATAATAATGCATCTAATAATAAATATCCCAGTATATTACACAAAATTAAATATATATAGATCACATTGTTATATTGACTTTGTAATTTTCTCTGCAGAGGATGTGATGTTAAGGATGTGCAACGATTGCAGTGCGCACGTGTGCATTAGATGGAGGATTGTACAGTGAGATAGTCACAGGCAGGAGTGATTTCCTGTGTCACTGAGCGATGCATTTGGATAATCTCAGTCTCTCACTGAACGTGCTCCTGTGACTGACCAGCACTCATGGAGTGGGTGTGAGCTATTGTCAAGCACTGTCTTTATCTTGGACAACGTCCACCTCTCCGACACCACCTTTAAAGAGTTCATTTCCACCCCTACAACATTACAGGCTTTATGGATGAGTTTATTGGGTCTGTTGGCATCCAGGATCCTCAACCTGCTGCCCCAGCATGCAACAGCATAGAGTATGGCACTGACCACAACAGATTCATAGAAAATCCTGAGTATTGTTTGGATAAAGAAAAAAAAGAATAGAATAAAGCCCTCTGGAAAGTGAGAACTCTCTTAAACAAAGTGGAACAAGGCTGCCATGGAAAGATTATTTCCTTCAAACATCTATCATATACAATACTTCTTATCCATAATGGACTTTTGAAGTTGTCATTTTAGCCCCTTCTCCAAATTTTGACACAAGGTGTTATGTCATCTGTATGATCTTTAAGTATGATTTCAGCTTAATGTCAAAATATTTTTTTCTTTGTGACTCAGGAGGGTATATTTCCTCTGTGCTTTTTATGTATCCAGTTGTATGAGTGCAAGCCTGAGTCAGTTTAATTTGTTTCTGTCTGTATCTGTCAAGGGTGGACGTATGTTTGGCTTCCCAATGTTTCAAAGCTAAAAGCTCTACTTTGTGGTTGTTTCTCCTGCAGACAGACAAACTAGACCCAAGCAGAGACACTGTGTTCTTTAGGGACGGAGTACGAAGAATAGACTTTGTGTTGTCCTACGTAGATGACAAGGACGGAGAAAAGAAACAGGTAAGCGTAACAGAAAAGGGCCACATTGTTCATTACTTGCCTACTCAGCGTTTTAAAATGCTAGCAGACAATATTATTATGCAATTTCTAACTGGAACAGGAATCCATGCTGTAAAGAGGAAGTGAGAGTCAACCCCTTTTCTGTGAACATATGACATTTGTAAATGGAAACCCAGACTGTTAATCATGTGAGCCATCCTATGAGCCAAGATATGAAGCAAGGCCAAGATGTGAAACCTCTATAAGACACTGTGCCTCCTCCTCATCATGTAACTTATTGAGATCATCTCAAGCAATGTGAGAATGGGGCTTTAAACATCCTAATAGCAGTGGGTCAACAACCCTCCAAAGAGAAGATCCTCTCAAGGGGTTAAATATCTTGAGTTCTCCCTCAGTTATTTAAGAAGTGAAGGTACACGAAATATCTTCGTGAGCCTTCATGAGTTGCCTTCTTTTTAAGCAGTGAAGAGGGAATAGTGTCATACAATTGCAAGCTATGACACATCCTTGTACCGGACGCACAGTCAGCACTAAATCAAGATTTCAGACACTTAACTGGTCATCATCAACTTTGCATTATTCATCACAGTCATCGCTGCGGTTCCATTATGGGAAGAAACTATGTTTGCATAGTTTATGTTTGCAGAAACTAATATACAGGCCTTGGAAAACTACTATATGTTGCATTGTGGATTTGGTGGGTATTGTAGAAGAAACAGATTAAACAGAGAAAGATAACATTGTGCATTGTTATATCGTGCCCTCGAAAGGGGCTCTTTTGGACACAGAAGCTGGATGGTGAACATAGCGGATCCAAACAGCCAGATACATCCTTCAGGAGACTTTAAAGGCCCAAAAACAAAACTTTAAAGAAGTGAATACCTGCAATATTTCGCTGTGTGCTTCTTTTGTACTCACAAATTTGTTTTTACTGTCCCCAAGTGGTCAAAAAATTGCTTGGGGAAAAAAGTAGACGTGCAAACATCACATAGATACAAAGCTATTAAAGAAACAACAAGGGAGTGGTCACCTGAGGAGTGGAACAAGTTTAACATTGCCAGGCTTTGCTGGCTAATGCCATCTAGCTCTGTTTATGTACAAAATTGGGTTTCTTTTTACTCCAGTCAGAGACATATCAGAGGAACTGATGAGAGTAATTCTGTGGAAATTATCACAAGTGCACAGAGTGGTAAAATAGGCCTAAATATATTAATATATTTCTACTACATTGGCACCACTGCTTATTTCTAATGTGAAAACTGCACTTTAGAGCTCTGAAACTTAACCCCTTAGCAGTCCAATTAGTCCCCTAAACCATCCAATGTCCCGTGGGCGGTACGTCCGACTGCTAAGGGGTTTTAAAACTGCATGCACTTAAAGATTACAGGTTGCTCAGTGTGTTTAGCTTTTACACTTTTCCTTAGCCTCCTAAAGGAGAATTGCTTAAGTTTGTCGCCAGATCAAAGTGGAATTAATTTTTTTAATTGAATATCTTCAGTGGTTAATATGGTGCAAATATAAATGGTCAGTTTTCTCATTTGTGTTCTAGAAGCTTCAAAACAAAGCAATGTTTAAAAAAAAGGCCAAATCTAAAAATGTGCACGACCTTCTGAATATAAATGAAAGGAAATTACTGTGACAGTGTGACACAAGGCTAGGCTTTACTCAGTAGCGTTTAGTCAGCTCTACTGATTATATTCTGAGTAGTCTTTAGCTCAAGAGGTAGAACAGGTCATCTGAGTGGAAGGTTGGTGGTTCAATCCCTGGCTGCTTCAGTCTGCATGCCAGATACTGAACCCCAATGTGCATTTACCAGGATGTGAATGTTACATTAGCACTCAGGTGTAGAAAAAAGTGCACGTTGTATGAAATGCTTTGAGTGCTCCAGTAGAGTCAATTTACCGTTTATGGAGCATATTCAAAGTATCTATATTACACTTACAGGATACGGTGTCAGAGAAAATGCAGCTTACTGAAACCTACAGTAATCTGGTCTGGAGCAGGTTATCTAATAGTTACTATGCTGATGTTCCTTTATAGTACACCCCTCTGAACACTTATTATGTCATGCTTAAGTTTACCACATAAGAGATCTGATTCACTATTTAATGGCAAATTCCAGTATTTTCTTTTAACAACCTCCAAACTCGAGACAAATGGCAGTAGACTGAGTCTTATCCCTTTTAAAAATACTTTCCTTAATCCTCCAGGAGGGACTTATCAGTGGGGTGCATACTCTCAGAGTATCACATACACCCACTGGATAACAAGGAGAACCACAAAGAGACACATGCTCCCTCAACAAGTGGCATCTGTCTCATCTAATGTCCACGTGGCCTAGCATATAGAAAAAAGACACAGAGCTCTAAGATCCAGGATAGCAGAGCACAGGAGCTGCGTCTGGATACAGGGCCAGTGCTGCTCAGTTGCATTTCAGGGAGAAAAATCACTGATGCAGTGACATAGAGCACACTAGATCCCCAAGGAAGTGTTATAAATACCCTTGCACTCCGAGGAGAAGATGTTTACGTTTTCACTCTCACAGCCCTCACGGATAAGATTGTACGAGATCAAACATTCATATGTAGGTATGATCTTGGTAATACAGTTTTTTGTTAATTTGCTGAAATGTATTCACTCAATCAAATGCAAATGTTTTGTCATTTGCTAGGGTACCCTCATGTTAACCACACCTGGCACCACAGGGCGTATAGGGGTGCGTGATGTATAAATATGGGCGTGTTCACCTCTGTTCTAAAAGTTTGATCTGACCAAGATGATGCTGGATGTTGAATAGCAAAACGACAACGTTCAAGCTCATGTTGGTTTCAGCAGACGTTAGAAAACCAGACATGGTACACTTTCATGATGGCATCTGAAATGTTCTGCATGAGTTTCCAAACATCCAACACAAACATGACACTTTTTGTCATTTGCTTTAAGAGGCTTGCCAAGATTTCAACTTCAACCACATTTTTGTATCTGTCATTTGAATACACTGAATATATACATAAGCTATTTTTTATAGCTCACTGTTGTCATGTTTTATTTTGATTCATTCAAAGTGTATCAAATAAAGGTACATTTTTATATTTTTAAATGTTTTGTTATGTGGCCATCCCTCCCTACATTAAGGAGTGAAGGTCACTTTTGTGCTTCTGTAGCAGACATGTGGGCAGTTGTGCTGTCAGTTACTGACATGCTCAGTGCCTGTTGTTGATTAAGATGTCAACTTTTCCCTGAATAAGTTGCTGGTGCTTTACCAGTTTTAATCCGAAACCCGTGCCTGTAGGCCTTCATACCTTCATTTGGGAAAACTGTAAAGGTTTGAGTCGTAAATACTCATAAATAAATAGGAAAAGGGTTTGGCTGAATGTCCCTGTCATGGATCCGTAAAAAGGAAAACAGGCATGAGTCTGTTGAGTGCCAATGTTTTTGGTTTGTGTGTTTATCCACAGGAGAGAAGGAGGGCGTTTGAAGCCAACCTGGAGAAAAGAGGACTGGAACTGGAGACAGAAGACAAATCGGTAAGAAATTCAACTGTGTAGTTCAAGCGCCACCTAGTGGACAGTGTGCTAAGGCACACCTGAGTCCAGATATAATTGTCTTAAAGGGATGGCTCAGTGTTTGACAATGCCATGATTATTGCCTCAAAAATCCTAACAAAGATGCTTCCTTTAAGTGTTCCTTATTTTTCCACCAGGACTCCAAGGACCAAAAGACCTATTTCCTAAAGATCCACGCTCCAAGGGATGTACTGGCCACCTACGCTGATGTCTTGAAGATTAAAGTTCCCTTCAAGAAGAGTGACATTCCTCAAAGTCAGGATGTCGCTCTGGAGTGGCTCACGCAGCCTTTTCGACTGCCGGGCAACATCATGCACCCAGAACCGGACTATTTCACCTACCACTTCGACAAGACCAAGACTGACTTCTTCCTCATCGGGGACAAAGACACTTTCTTCCCACCATCCACAAGAAATAGAATTGTTAGTATTTCAAAGATATATTTTAAATCTCTTAATGATTTTGTTTTTTATTAATTAAGATCCTTTTATGGGTTTTACCCCAATGACCACAAAAGTGTTTTGTATCAGTCAGGCAAAACGTAAAATGCATTTGGCTGAAAGGGTAAATCCAAATCCTTTAATCTTCTGTTAAACCTCCTTCTCGTTGGTAGGTGTTCTACATCCTGTCTCGTTGTGCGTACTACAAAGAGGGGCAGAAAGATAGAGAAAAGACGGGAATCAAGCGATTACTCAGCAATGGGACCTACACGGCGGCCTTCCCCCTTCATGATGTAAGACACGTTGCCAACTTCAAAGTGTGTTTTGTTCAGCGGGTCCTGTTTTGACATTGTGTCTTTCGCTTTCAGTGTCGGTACTGGAAAAAGGGCAGAAATGCAGAGGAGCGTTACAACCTGTACAAGCACTGGGCCAGGTTTCTCTGTTTTTATAAAGAGCAGCCCCTCAACCTCATCAAGTAAACAAACACACGTCCCATATCATCTTACGTCTAAAATTTCCATTTGTCTTGATGTTAAACTCTTTATTGGCTTGCAGGAAGTACTACGGAGAAAAGATCGGGATCTACTTTGCCTGGTTGGGTTTCTACACAGAGATGCTCTTTTTGGCAGCTGTTGTGGGCCTTATATGTTTCATCTATGGAGTGCTCAGTTATGATGACAACATAACAAGGTTAGTGCCACCAGGGGGCATCGCAGCTGTTTGGACAAACCTAAGTAAACAATTTACTTCATCTACTTTATACAGGAAGAAGTCTTTTTATTGCTGTAAGTACACCTGGCTAAAAATAAGCTTATCTGATGTTGCAGTAAATCCTGCTTCCTGTGAAGGTTATAGTTTTTTTTTCTTTTGTTTTGCTTAAATTATTTTAGAAAGAGACTAATTACACTTTGCAGTCAATTAAAGCAAAGTTATATTTTGTCTGTTATATGTAGTCTATATTGAGCAGAGTAGGCTAGTTAACATACACAGCGCTCTCTATAATGTAGAAGGTCATCAGCACCACAAACTGCAACCTTCCAAATAATGATAGCTCTCAGACTGTTTACTGTAAATCATAACAATAAAACTTTTCATGATCTGACATTTTAGCTGACTGCAATAGTTCAGGCTAGGGGAGACCATTAAACTGCCATTTAAGTGTATATAATTGTTGACCACAGGCAGAGAGGTGGTACAGTGAAAAGGTCCTGGCTTCAAATCCATCCTTTCTCTGCGGGTATTCTGGCTTCCTCCCACAGTGCAAGGACATGCATTTAGTGGGGTTAGGTTAACTGGTGATTCTAAAATGCCAATAGGTATGATTGTGTGTGTGTTAACCCTGCGGAGCTGGTGAACTTTCCAAGGTGTACCCCGGCTCTCACCCTGTACTAGCTGGGATGGGCTCCAGCTGCCCTGCAACCCTGAACTGGATAAGAGGAGGAGAATAGATGGATAATTGCTGACCAGTGAAAACTAAAACCAGCAGGCATATTGTATAATAAGAACCCGCGCTCTTTAAGGAAGGCACACTGATAGTTTTTCTCACATTCACCAACAAGGGGGCTGGTGGAGTCAGTGATGGACTACTTGTTTCACCTGTTTAACAGTCATAAAGTGTGTGCTGGGATTAATGTCAGGGCTCTGTGCAGGACTTTCAAACTGGTTAATTTCTATATAAACTATGTGGACAAAAGTATTGGGCCACACCGCTTCACCTGTGAATTCAAGCGTTTACAGTCCCATTACTATAAATATATATAATATATATAAATATAAAACCAAGCACCAAGCTATGCAGACTGTAGCTGTTGTGTTTGTGCTCTTTTCTTTGTCACCAGTGTTTACATCCTATCACACTCTTGTCACAGATAGAAAGACACTTTTTCAATCCATTTAAAAACCAAATAAAATATACAGGTTCTAGACTTCCTGCTCAGCCCTCTGCCTCACACCTCCTCCAGTGCACTTTGGGTCAGATTCAGGGTCTTCAGCTGGTAACCTGTCACTGATGTTTCACCCTGTACATCTCCAGGTGAGGCGGCAAGTGGCTACATCAGGATATCCCTCTGCCACCCCCTGCATCTGACCCTCCTCTGTAGCCACAAACAGTAGCTCATTTCCTCCACTTCTTCGGCTAGTTCCTTGACAGACCTCTGCAGGCTTGCGCCTCTTGTCCCTGTAGCTGGTGGAGCTGGATCACCGAATTGTTCACAAAAAAAACCCTGCACACCCAATTTTAAGTGGATAAATGGAGGCTGCCCAGCCTGCAGTTCACTGCCAGATCCGAGCACTTGAGCCACTTTAGGTCATGTGCCGCTACTATGCCCTCTAGGTCTAGAATGGACGAACAACACACGAGGCCAGAGGAAACCGTGAATGTGCTTTGGAGCGATGAAATGTTACTTTAATGCTTATACTGTGGCAAAATACCCTTTTTAGACAATATTATATACAGACACTTTGATTATTATTTAATTGCCTTCTACTGTGTGTACTGTATGTTCATCTGTGGGTTTCTTTATTTTGTTTTATTTTTAGCAAAGAAATATGTGACCCTAAAATAGGAGGCAGTATCATGATGTGTCCTCTTTGCGATAAAAACTGCACTTTCTGGAGGCTCGACTCAACGTGTCTCTCATCCTGGGTAATTATTCCATTTCATATATTAACTGGTCGCGTTATTATAATTTCATTTACACATATGTTACATTGTATCAATTTATTTAAATCAATGCGGTTTATGTAATCAGTGAAAAAAGGTCAACTATTATTACACAGACTAAAATGTTTTAGATTGACCACATTTAATCATACAGCTACATACTGAGTAACCAGCATGTTACCCTGTTTGTTCCCAGCATGTGATCTCTTGTGCTTGTCCGAGGAACCTATACTTTTCCATATTCTCTCTTCCAGCAATCCCATCTGTTTGATAATGAGGCAACCGTGTTCTTTGCCATGTTTATGGGGATCTGGGGTAAGTGTCAGTCTGTGCTGCTCTTGCTGTTTTTGACTTGTGTAGGAGATCCAACGAAACCCCCTCCTGTTGGCCAGATTTTCCCAGTTAAAGCCCTTTCACACGAAAAGAGCATCCAACTTTGCCTAAACTGCTCCAGTCCGGGAAGATTTGCTGGCACAATTATGCTGTTATGCCAAAGCAGCGGGGCTGTTTGTAGGTAGCATAGCATAAAATGCAGCATAAAGCCAAATGGATGTGAGAGTTATGAGAGTTTTGATCGATCTTGACCAGTTATGGTTTTTAAAAAATGCCGTGTCTTTTTCTTGACTTTGACAGTAACTCTGTTTTTGGAGTTCTGGAAGCGGCGCCAGGCCCGGCTGGAGTACGAGTGGGACTTGGTGGACTTTGAAGAGGAACAGCAAGAGCTTCAAACTCGGCCTGAGTTTGAGATCAAATGCACTAACAGGAGACTCAACAAGATCACACAGGTGCTTTTCAAACTATTAAAGTTATAATAGGCAAAAAGCTTGGACCTAAAGGAAAAAATGGGAATTACACTGAGTACAAAGAGTGCTCCTCTCTCTGTTTTAAGGCTCCCCTCCCCAGGATTTAAACCTCATTCTCACAGGTTAAAGCCCTCATTGTATTTTGCACCCATTTCCCTCTTCCTGCTCCTTTACACTGCCAAACCTCCTGCCTCCCACTCGGCTTTCTAAAGCTGGAAAAACAGTTCCATTGCAGTTAAATTTGCTGAAAAGGTTATTTGGTATTTTTCTGTCTGTCTGAGCTTTAAATAACAACAATTTATCTTTCAGGAAATGGAGCCATATCTCCCCCTCCACACCAGGTGTGCTCGCTACTGCCTCTCTGGAGCCACTGTTACATTCTGGGTAAGCGATTATTCAGCTAAAGTGCATGTGTGTGTGATTTTATAACTAGTCACAGCTTTATAAATCATGTGTGTTCTCTCCACAGATTTCTCTGATTCTGGCCTGTATTACTGGGGTCATAGCATATAGGTTGGCTGTCTATGCATCCTTCGCAAGTATCATTGGCAACCATAAAGGAGAGTCCGGCAACCATAAAAACAAGACCCTGCTAGTGGGCGGATTGATCACCCCACAGCTGGCGACTTCTGTCACCGCTTCCTGCATCAATTTTGTCATCATCATGATCCTTAACTTCTTTTATGAGAAGGTGGCCATCTGGATCACTGATATGGGTACTGGGATTTAATTGGGCAAACAGTATTTAGAAAATACAATAAAACTGATGATTTACTATCTGATCTGCTAACTGATGATGCTTTGCTTCCTGCAGAAATACCAAAAACTCACCTGGAATATGAGAACAGGTTGATTACGAAGATGTTCATGTTCCAGTTTGTCAACTACTACTCCTCCTGCTTCTATGTGGCCTTCTTCAAAGGCAAATTTGTGGGTTACCCGGGTAACTACACATACATGTTTGGCAAATGGAAGAAATTTAGGAATGAGGAGGTGAGTTTTAAAAGACAGCATTTAAGCATTGTTTCTTTTTTTCTAAACTGAGACGTATTTCTTTAAGCAGACGTCTTCATAAATACAAGAAGTGTGACAGAAAAGCTGTCTCTTGCTGTCCTAGTGTGACCCCGGAGGCTGCCTGATAGAGCTGACCACACAGCTGTTGATCGTCATGGCGGGGAAACAGTTATGGGGGAACATTCAAGAAGCTCTGCTGCCGTGAGTACCGTCAAATGTTTGTCTTATTTGGCCGAACAATAAGCCACAATCTGTGAAACCATCATCAGCTCCAAAGTCTGGAAAAAAGTCAGAGATTTACATGAAACCACAAAGATAATACATTAACTATCTATGGCGTAAAGTTTAGTTAAAAATATTTTACCCTACCCTTAGAAAGAAATGTCCAAGAGTAAAAAATGTAACTTCAATTTCAGCAAATATGAAGTTAATTTTCATATAAACATTTAATCCAACAACCAAATAACTGTGTGTTAAAGTCCTCTCCAACCTCCTGACACACACACACATGTAGACACAGCATCATTTACATATACACACTATTGCTTACCCACACACATCACAGTTAAGTGTATGACACTTAACTGACTAACTGGTCCTCACACCTGACTCTGGGGTCTACTCTTCCTCACTGTCGCTCTCATCAACTTCACTGTCTTCACTGAGGCAATGACCCCAACTGATGGATTGTATTCTTCCTCACTTCCTGTAAGATGGTGCAAGTTCAACATTTGACTACTCATCTATCGCACCACTCAGTATTCTCAAAAGGGTTACCACAGAGGTTCTCCTAAGTAAATGGACTGATTCTTATATAGCGCTTTTCTACTCTCCTGGAGTACTCGAAGCGCTCTATACAACATGCCACATTCACACAAGCACTGACTCTAAACTGAGTGCTGTCTGAATGCTCTCTTCACACACATTCATACTCCGATGGATGCATTGGAGAGCAACTTGGGGTTAGTGTCTTGCCCAAGGATACTTGGCATGCAGACTGGAGGAGCCAGCGATCGAACCACCAACCTTCCGATCAGTAGGTGACCTGCTCTACCTCCTGAGCTACAGTCACCCCACTCCTAAGGACCCTAGTCCCTGCTTCAACACACCTAATTAAAGTGATTCGCGTATTAAACGCCTGATAACAAGATGATCACTTGAATTAAGTGTGCTGTAGCAGGAAAGCACCTAAAAACCTAAACAAGTATCCACAAGGATCGGCATCTAGAAGCACTAGCAAAAATTGTCAAACCAGGGCCTAACATTGGGGGTGGAGCCTATCCCAGCTGTCACAGGGCAAGAGGCCAGGTACACCCAAACCCCTCCATTTAACGCACGGAGCCACCACATCCAGTTCCCATTGTGAATTTGACTGTATTGCTCTTTGTATTGCCTCACCTTACCTGATTAGGTAGAAAAATGCCTTGCTTGTTGACAGTCTTCCATCATACAGTAAATTTTCTAAAGCCTGAAAACAAAGCCCAGAGGCAGTTGGGAGAGTTTCCTCTCTTGAATTACATTAAACTGAAAAGCTGTCGTGCATTTTTTGTCCAGCCATGCTAAAAGAATTTCTGCCTATTCCAGCTTAAAAGTGTAAGTGAAGATCATTAGCTGGATTTTAAGTGCCTGGCGCATAAATGAAAGCGACTTAACAGAAAACAGTATTTATAAAAATAAAAAAAACATCACACTTTTTACATGAACCCATGACAAAATGAAACCTTCTTGATCTTTTGGCATTGCTACAAAACAAGCAGGGACTTTAGAGGTGCTGAGGTGGTGTCTTAAACTCCCAGAGAAGAACTGCATCTTCTAAATCTGCAGCTTGACGTCACCATTCTTGCTCTGAAAATCTCGTTGTGGAAAGCTCCACCATATTTTTTTCCATATTTTTTTTGCTAGGTTGATGCGTAACTGGTGGAGCAGCAGAAAGGGACGTCACAACCCCGAGAACCATTACAGTCGATGGGAGCAGGATCATGTTCTGCAGAACTTCAGCCAGCTGGGCCTGTTCTACGAGTACCTAGAGATGGGTGAGATGCTTCACTAGTCTCTCTGATAAATTCAAATATCAATTAAAAAGTCACATTAAACAGGAAATGTTTAACTTGTCCTGACTGCTTTCCCTGTAATTCCAGTGATCCAGTTTGGCTTCATCACTCTCTTTGTGGCCTCTTTCCCCTTGGCCCCCCTTTTGGCTCTGTTCAACAACATCCTGGAAATCAGGGTGGACGCCTGGAAGTTCACCACCCAGTTTAGGCGACCAGTGGCATCCAAGGCTCGAAACATCGGAGCATGGCAGGAGATCCTAAATTCAGTGGCCATCTTGTCTGTTGTTACCAATGTGAGTTTTTTTTCCCTTTCATCGCATTTAAAATGAGGTTAAACTTCATGAGATAGTGCTTACGTATCAGCCTGGAAATAAGCTTCAGAAACAACTTTTTGTGGTCCCTTTTCTTCCAGGCTTTCATCATGGCCTTCACCTCAGACATGATCCCCCGTATGGTGTACCTGTATGCCTACAGCAACAGTACCAGCATGAAGGGCTACATCAACAGCAGCCTGTCAGAATACAGAATACCGATAAGACCACAAAATATGACTGAGGACAACTGGTTTCGTCACTTCAATACGACCTGCAGGTATTAGAGCTGAAAGAAGCTCTTTAGATATTTTCAGCATATTTAAAGCATTAATAAATATCCTTTACAAAATATTGGTAGAATGAGTTAACCAATGAAAGTCATTGCAAGACTCTGCAGTTCGTGCCTGTCAATGGAGTGTTTTAGGATCTTTCATCTGAGATTCAGGCTCACTAATCTTACTGTGTTGTTTCCAGCTGCTACATGCAGCAATTGGAGTAAATATTTGGCATTCTCACTGACTGTAGATGAGTACTAATGTTGTGTTTACATGTTAGCAAACCTAACTTTTATGAAAGGCATTTCATCAAACTTGTCAGTTAGGTTCAAATTACTGTTTGCATAGATCTACGTACTTTTCAGTTTATTCGTGTTTCTGTCTGTTACGGGAGCCTTATTGTACACTCACTGGTAACTTCATTAGGCACACACTGCTAGCAGCATATTGAACCCTCTTTTGACTTAAGAATTGCCTTATTTCTTCATGGTTGGCTGGAAAAGTTCCTCAGAGATGTTGGTTCACATTGACATGACAGCTTCTGTAGCCCATTCACTTCAATTTATAAGGTTCTTCTGCAAGCATTGGTGGTGTATCGAGTGGTTATTTGAGTTCGTTTCCCCCAGAGATGTCAAACACTGGATATTTTCTCATTTTCAGACCATTCTCTGTAAACCCTTGAAATTTTTGCATGTGACGCCGCTCTCTTGTTGGTCTGTACAGATACCGTGACTACCGGCACCCTCCAGGCCACAAGAACGAGTACACTCACACCATGCAGTTCTGGCACATCCTGGCAGCCAAAATGGCCTTCATTATTATCATGGAAGTAAGACAAAATACACTTTTCCCTCACACGTTCCTCACTCGTAAAAATAAATAAATAAATAATAACCTGAATTAATGTTGCAAAGTGATGATATCTTTACCAACGCTCTCTTTGCAGCATGTGGTCTTTGTGGTGAAGTTCTTTATTGCGTGGATGATCCCAGACGTCCCGTCAGATGTGAAGGCGCGCATCAAGCGAGAACGATACCTGATTCAAGAACACCTGCATAACTACGAGGTGGAAAGGCTCAAACTGCAGCTGAGTGCCAGCTTCATCACAGAGCCGCAAACTTCGGAAACGTCGTTGACGCCAGACAAACACGAAGTGCTTTCTGAGTGCCTGTAGCACCTGCGTCGCACCTCCAGCTAACCAAGCCGAGGGCGGACATGTCTGTGTATTCTCTTCTCCCTGAGAACAGCCATATGCAAGGGCTTCTGTCTTTGAATTCAAAACGCTATTTGTTTCATTTTGGATGGACAATAAAGCCTTCCACATTATACTCCTATGTTAGGAAACGCATAGATACAGCATTTAAAATCCAGTGCAGTATAACATTTTATTTTCCTTAAAATCAGCTTCTTTTGCAGACGAAGCGTTCATTTTCCATAAAAACTGTATTTACATTCATCTTTCTTTGTCATAAAAGCATATTCTCTGTGTTTTCTGATACAGTTAAGGTTTGTTTTCTTGAATGTGTGACAGTGGGTTTGATTCCTCTTTAAAGAGCTGACTGTGACGTCAATTTAGTATTCTGCATGCTAGTCTTTGATGAGAATGAAGGACTGAATATTTAGTCAGTTGTGAATGTAGAAAACACTCATGCTTACAAATATTTAAAAACATATGCGAGATGAAACACAAGTCAACTGGCGGTGCTTCCTCGGACAGCTTCACCATGATTAGTTTTTTATTTTTATTTTAATAGGTAGCTACATAACAATATGTCTACTGATCTACAGCCGAGCTAGTAGACTATGAGTTTCATTGTTTGAGTGTTTATTATATGTAGAAAAAAAGCTCTTTAAAACTGTGCATTTGAAAACCAAGTACCTCCATCACACTGCAGTAACACTGTAACAATCAGATGTGTGGTGTTTTTCCACTCACTCTGACCTGAGTTAGCGACAGAAATAATGCGTTAAGACAGCAGCTGCAGGCTCGTGTCTGATCTTCTGCGTGTATTACCAAGTTGCTGCGGGACCAATTGTAAAGTTTCTCTAAAAACAAACAAACAAACAAAATAGACTACATGAAGAACACGTTGTCAGGGCGCTGGACAGATCATGTGTTGGTTTTACTTTTCCCCGTTTATACAATAAATGGCCAACTTTTAATTTTCAACTTTCACATTAGTTATGTCACCACATATTATTAATCGTCCAACTGCAAGCTGAGAACTATACAGGAAGCAGATCTTCTTGTAGCCTGGTGGGGATATGTATGAGTAACATGAAATGGTTTTAGTAACCAGCTCATTAACTATAGCTGACATCTAAGTGCTGCTGTAGATATAAAGATGCTGTTTTTTTTAAGGGGCTATAGTGCAATTAATTTATTGATCCATTTCTGCCCTGTGGCCTGAAGCATTTGTGTTTAGAGTTACTATTTTTATGCTTTTACATTTGCCTATAAAAGACCTTGCAGCATTTGGGTTCTTTCTTTTAGATCAGGGGTCCCCAATCTCAGTCCACGAGGGCCAGTGTCCCTGCAGGTTTTAGATGTCTTCTTGATCCATCACAGATTTAAATGGATAAATGACCTCCTCAACATGTCCTGAAGTTCTCCAGAGGCCTGGTAATGAACTAATCATGTGATTCAGGTGTGTTGACCCAGGGTGAGATCTTAAACCTGGAGGGACACCGGCCCTCGTGGACTGGGATTGGGGACCCCTGTTTTAGATTGTCCTCTTCATCACCTCGTAACTGGCCAAGAAGCAGTGTTAGCTCAGACAGCTCTTCCACCACACTAATGAAAAATAAGACTCCTGCTTTACATTTTACATTGTAGCAAGCGTCTGATTGATTATTTTTTTAATAAGTTGATCATTTATCATATAGAGTGCGTATAAATCTGTTATGCTCTTTTAGGTTTCCGTGTTTGTGCTTTAACTTCTTACAGTAAAGCGGCTGATGCAATCAGCAGGTTATATCTGACAGTCGACACTCACTCCAATCTCAGGATTTAAAATCTTTCAGTGTCTGTTGAGCATGACTGTTTACTGAGTCGTGCAAAATCCCGCAACATCCATGATGGACTTCCCAACAAACGAATGCCTTAAACATCTGTCTTAATTTGTTTTGGTATGTTTTTTTTAAAGAAAAAAAATTCCTATCTGTTTCTCAACATCTGTTGCATAGTATTTGTTACTGCTGCAAACTATGTGCAGTGTACCAGTTTTGTGCATGAACTGTGATCATGTAAATATTTTGTCAGTATCAATATGTAAGTTTTCTGTCGACTGTTGAACAGGAACTTATTAAAATTGTTAAAATTCCCAATAAATAAAGAAAAGTCATTTTTTGTTGGAGCTTTATTTTCAATTACAATAAGACACCCAGCGCATCTATGTTTTGCATCTTTCTCCAACATAAAGATCTCATCCAAGTTTATTTTAAGACCACGTTTTTCTCCACAGAAAAACATCTGTACAATTTAAACAAGCTTAACTGTTAATATTTGGCACAACCACCTTTATTCTTCAACACAGCCTGAACTCTCTTAAGCTGCTTTTTAGTCATTTCTTTAAGTAGTCTTCAGGAATAGTTCTCCTGTTTTCTTGAAGGACATTCAAAGCTCTGCCTTTTTCTGTATTTTGTGTCAAGATGATCCAACACTGCTTCGGTAATGTTGATGTCCAGGCTCTGCAGAGGCTGATCTATGACTGACAGTGCTCCATTTTGTGTTTTTATATATTTGCTGAAAATACTTTGTCCTTAATGAGGCTCCACTGTGTTTTACAGACTGACCTGTAAATATTCAAGACAATTTGAACTAAAATTGTCAAATCTGGATTCATTGGTCCATCAGACTTCTCGCTGCTGATTTTCAGTCCAGTCCTTGTGTAATGTGGAATACCTCAGCCTTTCCTCTCTGTTTCCCTCTCTTATGGTTTTTACAGCCACCTTTCTATTAAAACCATGTCTGGTGAGGCTTCTGTGAACTGTGGATGAATCAACTGAAGGGCCGAATGCATCTCTCATGTCTGCTGATTTTTTTCCCTATATCTTAAAGACATAACTTTCAGATACTGTTCATCAGTGGTTTTTAGGCCATTTCTCTTGTCCTCCCCTTGTCCAGTTTCTTGATTTTTTTTAAGGAAACTTTTTTCTAAGGTTTTTATAGCTCTTTGGGGAATCACCTTGTTGATAAATAAGTACAGTTTTATCCCTGTCAAACTGTGTTATTGTCGGCATTTTTCATATATTCAACTGAAGAAAGGGGAACAAATTCTGTGTTTTTGTGTCAGGCTACTTGTAACAAAGTGTCTCAAGCTAGAATATATCTCTGGTTCTTTGCTGAGTTGTCTGTTATATGTAGACAACTCACTGGTTCATCACTTGGTTTAGGCGGCTTTTATGCTTGAATGTTAACAACAAAGAAACACTCGAACGAAAGTCTTGCTCCTTTGAAACGTGTGTGCACTTTCATCAGGTCAGTGTAAGAACTATGCACACTGTTGCTCCGGCACATCAGTGAAGACAAACCCAGTTTTTGAATAATGACTTCAGGAGAAGCCAAATATAAACTATTATACAAATGCAATATAAATACAAAAATCTAACAACAGACACACAAAATATGCACGAATAATCTCAAAGATTGTCACACAAAAGTTTCAGACTGCTATTTTCAACCACCAGGTGTCGCCCCATACCAACAAATAAAAAGAGAGAGCCTGGTCGCTTCCCCCAGGTTATTTGACTGTGAATAAAATAAGATCTTCGTATTAAAGCATATTATTATTATTATTATTATTATTATTATTATTATTATTATTATTATTATTATTCGACGTATGCTTTTGAGAAAGATTTCTTTTTAATTATTCTAAGATTTTCTTCATGCTTCTGTGGGAAGATGTGGTTGTCAAGGAGAGGAAAACCGGGGAGACGGCTAAATTATTGATGGATTCCTGCGATGAGGAGCTTTTTGGAGGGCAGCACTGGGATGGGTGGGGGAGATCCACTCCTGTTCCATTGGTTTCCATAGCACCGCCCTCAGGAGATCTGCAGCTCTCCTATGTACTGTTGCTGTTAATATTCGTTTTTTCTTCAAAGTGTTAAAAAACACAAGTTGATATAAAATAGCTTCATTTAGTTTCACATTTCAGCTGATAAATATAGAGACCGATTGAGCTATAAAGCAGTTCCTTTTCTTCCCCTCACTATTTTTTTTAAATTTGCTATTAGACACAGGCTCATTTAGCCTTTATAGCGTCTATATATAAATATATAGACATGGCGTTTGTGGGCATGTTGTGTTTTGCGTGTGGCCTTTATTTGGGCTGAGCAGCTGGCCAGATGTTTGGACGCGGAGCGTTGCTGTCGCTGACCTCGGTGCTGAACGCGACGTCAGATGAACCTGCGCTCACCACAGGAGACACGATACAGCCTCACTCGCTCTTTGATTTATTGAAGCCACTCCAAACGCCCACTCCCGCTTTCTGAACTTTAACTTTTGTTTTGTTGGATTTTTTTTTTTATTATTTCATATCCATCATTCATTAGCTCTGTTTCTCCCCCCTCTCTCTTTCCTTTTTGGGTGCGAAGAGAGATCCATATCGCTCCACGACGCCGGCTATCAATTTTTTCGCTCGCTTTCGTCGTGATGGCACTTGGCTTGGCTACTGTACGCCAGGCAGGAGATGAGTTGGTGGTGGATGAAGGCGAACTGCTCGCTTGATCCCCCCTTTTTACACCAGGCTCTTTTCGCCTCTGCGCTTTCAGCCTAGCGCTGAGAATTATTCCCGGCTGTTGGATCGTCGCCTTCCTTGTGGGCTCATTTTTTTTTCGTAATTTCGTTTGTTGTTTTCCTTGCAGCCGCTGCAGTCCAGCCATCCTGCGCTGTAACATGACGCCTGAACAGTAAAACAAATATTGAGAAAACAGGCCTGCATTCAGAAACTGGATATGGAGTCAGTAAAGACGAAAGCAACGGCGGGGGTGAAGGAATTTGCGGGGAAGACCCTGGGTCATATGTACAGGTAAGGACGGGCTCTTCTTTTTGTGGGTAAATCTGGACAACAGCGCGTTTGAAACCGTCTGAGCCCAAAATGCGATTATTTGTATGCTGGATTTTAACAAGGCACGACGTGTGGGTCCAGAGGGCACCCAGCACTGTCTCACAACTTACAGGGATGCTTAGTCACGCCTCTAGAAGAAAATAAGAAAATTATGCAATCAAATCTCTCTCTCTCTCTCTCTCTCTCTCTCTCTCTCTCTCTCTCTCTCT